CCTTGTCCCTCCTTGTCCCTCCTGGTCCCTCCTGGTCCCTCCTTGTCCCTCTGCTGTGCCAGCCCCAGTGAAGCCGTGCAGGTTCTCAGCCTCTGCTGCCTCCTGTGCATCACCCTGGGCTGGACAAACAATTTTTGGGGCTGTGGGGAAGGAAGCAACAGCTCTGGGCAGTTTCATTTTCGGTGTCCTGCTTATTCCCAGAGGAGAAGATGATTTCCAGCGATGGAAAATGAACGTGGGGAGTTGTGGCTGCTCAGCCTGGGGGTGCTGGGAGCCCAAAGCAGAGCAGGGGACACGAAGAGCCAGAGCTGCTCTCCCTCCTCTCCCCTGGGCTGTGCTCTGCTGCCTGGCTTTTCATGCCCAGCAATCTCTGAGCCCTTCCCAGGCACCAGGAAAGGCACTTGCACAATGATTGATCTGCTCCAAAAGGAGACAGCAGCCACAGGATTGCACCCACTGGAACGTCAGGAGCAAGGTTCACTTATCCTGTGATTCAATATAGCGGGAGACAGTGATTTTTATAAATTAAAGAGCACTAGATTGAGATACATTCATCGGAGATTAGCTGAGGTTCTTCCTTGAAGGGGCTCATTGAAATGTAGGTGATGCTCATTGTTGTGTGAGATGCTGTTTCAAACTTTTAACAACAAGATAAAAGCTTGTGAGTGGGAGAAAGAACTGCTGTCATTGCTGGATTTAATAAATCTTCTGCAGGGACAATAAACCTGAGATAAACCCCAGACAAAGCCTCTTGCTTGGGAGTTATTTTGGCAGGTGGAAAGGAAGGACAGTCTGTCATTGTGGTTTGGGACTGTGCACATCCCTGAGCTGCTGGAAGGAGTCACAGGAGAGGTTTGGCATTCCCTGGGCACAGCCAGGGGCTGCCCAGTGCCCCTCTTTGGCTCCAGTCAGATGCTCAGCACCAAAAAACTGCAGGAAAAAAAGTAAAGTTGAGATCATTCTTAAGGGAAAAAAAAAAAAAAAAAAAAAAAAAGAAAAGAGGAGTATTCTTCTTGGCTGGTATAAAATAACAGCATTTCCTGGAAGTAAAATTTACTGAAAATGAATGTGTGGTACAAGTAAAGTTGAATCCCAGAGTCATTAAGGTTGGCAAAGACCTCCAAGCCCAACTTTCAACCACCACTATTTCAAAGTGCCACACCCCATTTCTTCTCTTCCAGGGATGCCACCGCTTCCAGTGCTTGACCAGTCTTTCAGAGAATAAATTTTTATTAATACAAAATAATCATTAAAATTAAATACAGGTTTAATTTTAATTTCTAATTTAATTATAAAAGTGCAGATGTTAAAATCAACTAATGGTTAAAATTACTGTTTATTAATAATAAATAATGGTGGCTGCATCAAGGACAGCAAACAGGCAGCCCTGCTCCCCCTGGAGCTCCAGAGGCACTGCCAGGGGACAGAAATAACCCTGCAAACACAGCCATTCCCCCCTGCCCCAAACCCTTCTCTCTCCTCAGTGCACATGGAAAAAACCTCTGGAGATGGGAGCAGTGGGGCAGCCCCAGGTGTGGGAGCTGGGAGCTCCAATCCATTTGCTCCCAGGTGCAAATGAGGGTGAAGAAGGACCAGAAACAAGCCCAGATGTCCTGGATTGTACCCTGCATTCAGCCACCCTCAACTCGCTCCAAACTGGCCTTTTTGAAGGGTTTTTGGGAAGGGCCTGGGACACTGAGGGCTGCTGATGGAATTGTGACTCCTCAGGAGCCACAGGCAGAGCAGCACCGAGCTGGATGGAAGCAGCACCTCGCCCCTCAGCTCACATTCATCTATTAGAAATAATATTAATTATGCCACTAGCACAAAAAGCAATTATCAAAATATTTTGCTAAACATCTTAAAAAAATGTTATTTACCAAAACCCACTCAACTGTATCAAAGCCTTGACAAAAAGCTCTCTTAGAAATTAATAAATATATTTGATTAGCGCTTTCACGGATGCACAGATTCTGCATATGGGAGCATTATAGTGCATTTAATTATATATAAAGGCAATTAATGTCACAAATTAAGACTAAGCTCTGACTCGAGCTAAATAATTGTCATTATCTATCATACAACATGCCCAGAAAGCTTAACTCTGCAATGATTTTAATGAACAATAAACTTGGCATTTACATACCAAAACAATTTGGTGTAATTCAGTCTCAATAATAAATGGCAACAAAAAAAATCTCTCCCATTCCTGGGGAAATTTTTCCTTTTGGGATCCCACGGGAGTTTTTCCCAGCACGTCCATCACCATGGAGGGAACATTTCCTGTCTGCAGCTGGGTCCCACAGGGACCAGGGGATGCTCCAGCCCCACAGCTCCCAGGGAGTCACTCCTGTCCTCAGGGGCCTGCAGCTCTCCAGTGCAGGACAGCTCTCCTGGATCTCCATGGATCTCCTGCAGCTCTCCTGGATCTCCTCCAGAGCAGGACAGCTCTCCATGGAGCTGCAGGAGGGTGGGCAGCTCCCAGCCCATCCAGGCACCTCCATCTCCCTGCTCTGCAGAGCCCAAAAACCAGTGCAGAAACTGCAGGGACCAAAGCAGTGCAGAAAATGCAGGGACCAAAGCAGTGCAGAAACTCTGCAGGGACCAATCCAGTGCAGAAACTCTGCAGGGACCAAAGCAGTGCAGAAACTGCAGGGACCAAACCAGTGGAGAAACTGCAGGGACCAAAGCAGTGCAGAAACTCTGCAGGAACCAATCCAGCACAAACTCCAGGACACAGGGATCAAACCAGTGTGGTGACACAGTGTGAACTCAGTGGGGAATGAGATGAAGCTGTTATGGAAACAATGGTAACACTGCACTGATGCTAAGTGCAGCCAATTGTAAAATAAAAGACTCTAAATGGAGTTAAAGGCTGTGGCTTTGTGTTTGAAAAGGATCTGTGTGGGTGTAATAGTGTGGTGTAGTTTGTGCAATAAAAATAAAAATTGATCCACAGTGCAGAGTGCAACATCTTCACCTTGTGTCAGCTCTTAAACCAGAGCCTCGCTGGGCTCAGGGACTGGCTGCAGAGTCTAATGCACAGAAATGGGGTGGAAGTGATAAAATAAATGACTAATGCATTCATAATATTAAACATTAAAAGATAAATATGTTTTTAAATACAACCAGTGTGGTGTGGTGGCCATCAGTGCTGGTTGTGTCGGTTGTGGCAGGATGCTCTGCCTGGGATGGGGTGAAACAGCTCCAGCAAGGCCCTGTGTGCAAAGCTCAGTGCTGGGTGCAGGGGTCACGCTGCTTTTGGGGTGAATAATGCTGAAAACAGCCTGACTCATCAGTCCCAAAGTTAAACGAGGGAGTGAGGATGTGTCAGAGCTGCTGAGGTAGCCAATAAAGGCACAAACAAGTGTTGCTGCTGATCCAAAGTGAAGCAAAGCTGCTGAGCTGACACAGCCTGGACAGCTCTGACAGCGCAGCCCCCGTCCTGCCCCAGCCCCATCCCACCTCTGATGGCAGGAACTCCAAATGTGTGCATTTTCCAGCCTCTGGAATGTGTGGGAAGCCTCCTCCCTGCAGCCAGGATGCTCCTCAAGGTCACCCCTCCAGCCTGAGCTGAGATCTGCCCACAGTCATTGCTCTGGGTGAGTAACATCAGCCTCTACTGAATCATTTGGTTTGCTCTAATAATGCTTATGAAGAGTGCACTTTGCTGTAGTAATGCTTTGAGTAAAGAATTCTGATTGAGATCTTTTTGTCTAATCATCATCCTAATAAATATATTTATACTTTTGTATAAATATATCTGATTTGCCACCCTTGATCCTGCAGGAAGAGGCTGTGTTTGAGTCTGTACAATCTGTTAGACACAAAGGGCTGGCAAAGTTTGGGTCTGAGCTTGGATCCAGCTGCATCCCAACTCCTCTCTGAGGAGTTTAGGAAGCTGGGGGTCCCTTCTGCCCCTCGGATTGAATGGGAGGGTTTCCCTAAAACTGAGGACTTTGCCTGGGGCTCCCAATCTGCCCAGGGCCCGTGTGTGTATCCCAGAGTGATGCTGAGTGCACACACACACACACACAGGTATTTCTGTGTGTATGGAGGTGCAGCTTAGAGACAGCCATCAATGGTCCCCAACTCCCCATTGCTCCCTCTCAGCAGCACCATCCATTCCCTCTTTCCACCTCAGTCCCCCCCTCACCAAAACAAAGTGAGAAACACTTTTTCCCATTCAGAAAAAAGAAAATGGGAGTCTTTGAGCAAGAAACATGTGTTTGATGGTGAGGTGCTTATTTGGCTCTGTCCCTGTGGTGATGGGAGAACGCTGCAGCCCCTCTGCCCTCGTTATCAGCTGGGCTGCTGATGAGTTTGGTGCTGATGGAGCCTCTTTTACCTGGGCAGAGCTCTGTGTGGAGCCAGCTGTGGTTTGTTCTGGGGGGCAGGAGCGTCCCATGGCCGGGCTGGCAGGCAGCCTGGGACAGCCAGCTCCTCATCTCCGTGCGCCCTGTCACGGCTTCTCCTGATGCTGATTAACTTCATCAGGATAATTGATCAAGTTGTCTGCAGAAGATGGGAGGATAAATACCTTCCCCAGGAGCCGTCAGAGCGGCCCAGCCGTGGTTGGATGCCGAAGGTGCTGCAGGTGCTGTGCTGCAAAGGCAATGAGTTCCCCCTCAGCTTCTCCCTTCTCCTGCCCCAGCTCACCCAAGCCGTGCCTGGCAGATTGACTCTGATTAATTGCTCATTTAATTACCTTCTGGTGTGCTGCTGTACTTCACGTCCTTCAGGAGCCTCAGCAGTTGACAGCAGCTCTGGAGATCTCAGACACGAGGTTGGCACTGTGGGACTCCAGCTTGGCTTTGGGGTTCTTACAGACCTTTCAAAGTCCCTTCCGAGCACTTTTCCCCTGCAGGCAGCTGCCAGCTCCCCCAGGACTGACCCCAGACCTGCTCCACGTGCCTGACATTGGCATGAAATAAATGTTAAATCACGAGGGGGAAGGGGGAGGGAACAACTGAAAAAATATATTTATTGGAGTAAATAAAAAAAAGTTAACCAAAATCCTTTATTGATACATTCTTGGATAATATCACAGGATCGAGAGAATGGAAAGGGAGGGAGGAGGTTGCGGCAAAGATTGGTTTCACTAAATTGGCACATAAGCAGCAAGATTAACGAAATTACTTATTACAAACAGTATAAAACATACATGCTTCTGTAAGTCCTTATCACACTGGTCAATCATGGTGGGGCATCAACAAAGAAAAACCTCAAGACATGTAAAAGCCATAATCTTTCCTCCAAATATCATAAGAATCATCGAAATTATTGCAAAATAGTCATATACCTTAAAGAAAAGAACAAAATAGAACACAAATACAAATATCAAACATAAATTATTAACATGTACCATAAAATACATTACTGGCATGCATTCCAAAGATCAAGACCTCTACTAAAACTCAGCAAAAATCCTTCCTGCTTCCTCTGCAGCCCATCGGAGGTGTGAAGGGGGGGGACAAACTTCGCCAGCACAGTTTTTGGTCTTTAAATTCTTTTTTTTTTTTGTTCGTTTAGTTAAAAAAAATAAGGTATATGGATTGCAGTGATACAAGAGTAATAATACAAGTCATGTACACGGGCCTCAGATCCTCGGCTGTCGGTCGGTTTGAGAAGTGCCGAGAGCACCGGGCCTCGATGAAACTGTGCATCCAAAAAACAAACAGTGACCTCGGAACAACATGGATGGAAATATGCAAAACTCCTCACAAACTGTACAGAGTTGAAAATCTTGCAGTCTGGAAGTACATAGAAAGACAGAATCACCCCTCGGAGCGCGGAGCGGCGGCGCGCAGCGGGCCCGGGCAGGCGCGGCCGCGTTGGGCCCTGCCCGGAGCAGATCCTGGAGATCCTGGAGCAGATCCTGGAGATCCTGGAACAGATCCTGGAGCAAATCCCGGAGCAAATCCCAGAGCTCCTGGAGCAGATCCTGGAGCAGATCCTGGAGCAGATCCTGGAGCAGATCCCGGAGCAGATCCCAGAGCTCCCCAAGCAGATCCCGGAGCTCCCGGAGCAGATCTTGGAGCAGATCCCGGAGAAGATCCCAGAGCAGATCCTGGAGCTCCTGGAGCAGATCCTGAAGCAGATCCCAGAGCTTCCAGAGCAGATCCCAGAGCACCCAGAGCCCGGCTCCTCTCGCCCCCGTGCCCGGGGCTCAGGCAGGCACAGGCCTAGATCACCAGGTTGTTGTAGCTCACGTATTTCTTCTTGGCAGCAGGGCCTGCGAGAGAGGAGACGGGGTCAGAGCCCAGGGCAGGGCCCTGGAGGGGCTGGGGCTGCTGGGGCACCGGGAATGGGGATACACCAGGAATGGGGATACACTGGGAATGGGGAGTGCTGGGAATGGGGAGTGCTGGGAATGGGGTATTGGGATGTGCTGGGAATGGGAACACACCAGGAATGGGAACACACTGGGAATAGGGATGTGCTGGGAATTGGGATGTGCTGGGAATGGGAACACACCAGGAATGGGAACACACTGGGAATTGGGATGTGCTGGGAATGAGGGATTGGGGATGAGCTGGGAATTGGGATGTGCTGGGAATTGGGATGTGCTGGGAATTGGGATGTGCTGGGAATGGGAACACTCTGGTGGCTCCCGACCCCCAGCTCCCGCCTGCAGGGCTGCGGGCAGGCGGCTCCCATGCCAGCCCGAGCTCCAGCCCCAGCTCTGGCTGTAAACAGAATTAGCAGGGATTGATTTTGTCAGGCTCCCGCAGTCTGGGTGACTGCGCCGCTGAGGCACCACAACCAGATCCTATTAAGATTTCTGTTTTGCAAAAACAGTGACATTTCCTCCAACTTCTTAAATCTCCTGGGCTAAACTTGGCTTTTCGCATGGATAAAGCGATTCTTATTCAAGTTTTATGACTTCTGAGAATTTTTCAATATGGGGATGAAGGTACCAGCTTTCCTAATGATGACCTTCAAATCCAATCTGTTTGCAAACAGAAGGAAATCAAAGCAGTCAGAGCTTTATGAGCACTGCTACACGCTCCCATCAGGAAAACTGCAAATATTTGCAGCTGAACACAAAGCAAAGTGTTCTGCAGTACTCTGGCAACACTGACAGATCCAGGACACAGAACCACGGAATATTTGGAGTGGAAAACACCAGGATCACCCAGCCCAGCTCCTGGCCCTGCCCAGACCCCCCAAATCCCACCCTGGGCATCCCTGGAGCCCTGGAGTGCTCCTGGAGCTCTGGCAGCCTCAGGCTGTGCCCATTCCCTGCGGAGCCTGGGTAGTGCCAGCACCTCTGGGGGACAATCTTTCCCTGATCTCCAACCTAAACTCCACAGAGACCAAAAAAATAGCCCGGATTTACAGTTATCCCAGTTTGCTAAAACACTGAAGTGGAAATCCCACAGTCTTTGGGAGAATTTGGCATAACTTAAGCAGTTTGCTGAATATTTCCAGCCTGCTAAGCTGGGGCAGCCTCCACCCACACCTTGGATGATGTTTTTAATGTGGTGTGTTTCATTTTAAAACCTTCTCAGGAGGATTTAATAGATGCTGTGGAAGGAGAGGTGAAAACAACAATTGGATTTGTTCTGCAAATGTGCTTTTCAAACTTCATTGGGCTTGGGCCTCCCAGGGCTCCTCTCAGCCCCTCTGCAAAAACAGGACATGGATCCCACCCAGAGCTCTGTGTGTTGCCCCTCAACATCCCCTGCATGTGTGCCAGCCCCTGAACATCCCCCCTGCATCTGTACCAGCCCCTGAACATCCCCCCTGCATCTGTACCAGCCTCTGAACATCCCCTGCATGTGTGCCAGCCCCTGAACATCCCCTGCATGTGTGGCAGCCCCTGGGCACCCCGAGCCCTCAGGGAGCAGCCACAGCTCCCTCTGCTCCCCACACAGGCTGTGCTGTCCCCTGGCTGTCCCCTGGCAGCGGTGTCACCGGGCAGACATCGCTGCTGCTCTTTCACAAGCACCTGCTCTGCCCTCCCCCAGCAATTCCCACTGGCTGGAGCACAGTGCACAGACTGCAGCCCAATATCAATATTTCCCATGGTGTTCACTGTTTCACTGGCAAAGGAAGGATTTTAGTCCCAGGTATTTCCAAGATGGACATGTAAGAATCTCACGTGCAGCTCTGCAATATTATCCTGGAACCCTCATTCAGCTCTTTCCTCATGCCCCAGACAGGAGCCTGTGCTGTCTGTTCAATCAAGGACTGATCCCACCAAGTGCTGATCATCTTCAGTTCCCATTAACTTCTCCTGCACACGAAGGTGTCCAACATCTGCCAGGATAAAACTCATTATCCTTCAAGGCTGCACTACAAATACCAATAAACCGGGGAACGCCATTAAACGCTGAAGAAGGGCAAAATGAGCCTGGGAAAAAAAAAATGTCATCATGGAACAGGTTGCAAAGTAATTCCATGTATTATTTTGTGATGTACTTCAGCTTTACCCATTACAAGCTCCAATTTCAAGGAGCAGCAGCGTTTCTAGGACTGAGATTTCGCTGCTCCCACTGCCAGATCAGCTCATGCCACCCCTCCAGTGCCCCCGGGCTATTACTGGGGCTCTCAGCAAAACCAATGGTTTTGCTGAGGAGTTTTCTCAGCAGCTCAGCCCCGGTACTCCTTTCTCATTTGCAGCAGGACGAGGAAGCAGCGGTGCCAAGGGATGGAGCCCAGCAGCGCTGCGGCACGGCCGGGCTCCGGGACAGTGACACAATCCTTGGCACGGCCCTGCCTCACCCGGATAATGGAGCCGGCAAAAGCATCATCCATAATTCAGATGAAATGATCAATAAAAGCCGTGTAGCTACTTTCAGAGAGGAAAGACAATGTTCCTTGTTCGAAGGCCGGGTGGGGAGCATGTCCCCGATGGCTGCTGGAGCATCTCCCCACTCTGCTCCTGCCTGCAGCTCAGCCCCAGGGCAGCTCCCAGACACGGAGAGCTCAGGACAGCTCAGGAGAGCTCAGGACAGCCCAGGACAGCCCAGGACAGCTCAGGAGAGCCCAGGACAGCTCAGGACAGCCCAGGACAGCCCAGGACAGCCCAGGACAGCTCAGGAGAGCCCAGGAGAGCTCAGGACAGCCCAGGACAGCTCAGGAGAGCCCAGGACAGCTCAGGAGAGCCCAGGACAGCTCAGGACAGCCCGGGACAGCCCAGGACAGCCCAGGACAGCTCAGGACAGCTCAGGAGAGCTCAGGACAGCTCAGGACAGCCCGGGACAGCTCAGGAGAGCCCAGGACAGCTCAGGAGAGCTCAGGAGAGCTCAGGAGAGCCCAGGAGAGCCCAGGACAGCTCAGGACAGCTCAGGAGAGCCCAGGACAGCTCAGGACAGCTCAGGACAGCTCAGGACAGCCCAGGACAGCCCGGGACAGCCCAGGACAGCCCAGGACAGCTCAGGAGAGCCCAGAGAGCTCAGGACAGCTCAGGACAGCTCAGGACAGCTCAGGACAGCTCAGGACAGCCCAGGAGAGCCCAGGACAGCCCAGGACAGCCCAGGACAGCTGAATTATATCCCGGCTCCTGCCTCCTTCTGCAAATAAAGGCTCTCCGGAGGCATCTGCACCCTGGGACTTCATTGGAAAATAAAAGGGGACCTTTCAAAAGAGCCTTAAGCACCTTAAAAAGAGCTTTCCTATCGCAGTTAGAGACAAGCGACCCTTCGTGCTGATTTTCCGCCAATTAGCGGTGAGGAGCGACAGGAGCAGGAGGGAGCAGGAGGAGAAGGAGGGAGAAGGAGGGATGCAGGGGGATCAGCAGGAGGGACAGCCGAGGGATTCAGGGGGAGCAGCAGGAGGGACAGCCGAGGGATGCAGGGGGATCAGCAGGAGGGAGCAGGAGGGAGCAGGAGGGACAGCCGAGGGATGCAGGGGGAGCAGCAGGAGGGACAGCCGAGGGATGCAGGAGGAGCAGGAGGGACAGCCGAGGGATGCAGGGGGAGCAGCAGGAGCTCTGCGAGGCTCCGCTCAGGCTCAGGAATAACCCCGCAGAGCCAGAGAAGCAGCGAGTCTGGAAACGCCCCCAGACCGGCCAGTGCCCCCTGCAGCCGCTTCCCCTGGCCCTGAGGGTCACCTCGGCTCGCTGCTGGACACCCGCAGGGCTCCGCTGCCTCCCGGGGAGCCTGACCCCTCCTGGGGGGAGAACCTTCCCCTGCTCCCCCGGCGGAACGGCCCCGCTGCAGCCCGGGACAGCTTCCCCTCGCTGGGCCGGGCACAATGTCCCTGCAGGCAGGCACATCTGCACAGCTGGAACACACGGGGACAGCCTGCACGGCTGCACATCTGCACGGCTGCACAGCTGCACAGCTGCACAGCTGGAACACACGGGGACAGCCTGCACATCTGCACATCTGCACAGCTGGAACACACGGGGACAGCCTGCACATCTGCACATCTGCACATCTGCACAGCTGGAACACACGGGGACAGCCTGCACGGCTGCACATCTGCACAGCTGGAACACACGGGGACAGCCTGCACGGCTGCACATCTGCACAGCTGGAACACACGGGGACAGCCTGCACGGCTGCACATCTGCACATCTGCACATCTGCACAGCTGGACCACACGGGGACAGCCTGCACATCTGCACATCTGCACAGCTGGAACACACGGGGACAGCCTGCACGGCTGCACATCTGCACAGCTGGACACCTGGACACCTGCACACCTGCACATCTGCACAGGTGGACACCTGCACAGCTGGACACCTGCACACCTGCACAGCTGGACACCTGCACACCTGCACGGGCAGACCAAACACCCTCCTCAGAGCACAAGAATTCGTTCCTCTCCAGCAGCGGCCGCAGTGAGAGCCCACGCCTGTCCCCTTCCAGAAGCGATAACAGGATGGGGAACAGCTGCATCTCTGTGCCAATGACACACCAAAAACAAACACACAGAAGCAAAAATCCTCTCTGGACTTAGGAGTTTCATCACTTGACTGGTTTTCATTATCTTGGGCACAGGTCACAAAGAGAGGAGCTCCCCCAGCACCCCAGAGCAAGGCAGAGCTGTCAATACTGACTCAGAGCCAGATGTAATCACTTGCACTTCAATTTTATGCACATTTGTAACCTCTTCCATGCTTAAAGAGCAAAGATTTACAGTGCAAGAAATGAATTTTATTGCGGCCCCCAGGCATCTCAAGCTATCAAACACATGAAACATCATCTCAGCATTCCCAGCTCCGAGCAGGGACGGACACCGGGATGGCTCCGAGCCTGCAGCTCCTGCTCTGATTCCCTC